TTTTTAGCATTACGACATTAATGTTGTTTGTGCAATTAGTTTAAAATCTTCTTTTTCATCATCTATTTTGATTTATCCATAGAAACTTATCTTTTCAAGAGGTACTTTGATGTAGTATTTGTTTGATGTATGTGTATATGTTTATTTGTTGTGTGTTTTTTGTGATGTGTGTATTGTGTTATTGTGTGTGTTTGTTTGTTATGTTGTTTTTATTTCCTTTTTAATTTGTTGTTCTGTTTTTTATTTTTATTTAGAATCCCTTGTTTTAAATTGATCATTCATTAAGGGGGAGCTTAGGAGAAAAATTGTCTTTAAGTCTTAACTCAAATAATAATTATGTTTTCATTATAAAAGTGGTGGGATTGCTGCAACTTAGTTTTTAAAATTATGTTTTTATATCATGTGAGTTTTTGATGATATCGGCACATTATTATTGTGATTACTATTTCTCCTAACATACATTAGATATATTTTCTTTGTGTAGTTTTGTGTGTACTAATATTTCAGGAAAATCATACTCCATACTATCAAAGACTTCAAGATAGATTATATTAGGGTTTCTTAAAATGAAGTTTGTACTTTTTTATTTTTCTTGAGTCTGAGAGAGTGTGATTGTAATTGGGTAACTGTACATACACACATTGGGGGAGTGAGTCAAAACTTAATCTTTTAAAACTAATCATAATATACAATTCTTAAATCATACATAACAATTTGCTTTGGTTGTTCCTCCAGAATGGAGTTTATCAAGTCATACCTTGAGAAATTTTATTTAAATTGTTTGTACTGTACATAGTTTTATTCATATAGATGATGACCAGAGTATGAAATGGGGTCATCCATATTCGTACAAAATGATCTCTTCAATTTTTGAATTGATCATATTGTGTGATTTTAGGTTCGTATAGATGACGTCCAATATACGAAAGGGGTTTGTTCATGTTTGTAACATACGAAACATGATTTATTTAACCTGTTTGTATTGTACTATATATGATTCATACAGATGATGACCAGTGTACAAAACGGGTTTGTACAAAATCATACTGAACAAACTTGTTCAGTTTTGAATTGTTCGTATAGTATGATGTCAGTTCATACATACAAAAGATAGAGTATAAAATCAGTTCATACAGCATCATACATGGATTTTTTTAACTATTCCTGCGTACAAAGTACGATCATATTGTATGATCCAAGTACGTTCAACTTAAAATTTTTAGTTTTCTAAAAAATTTTTCTTGTCCTTAATATATAAGTCCTAAAAACTGACTCCAATTTTCACATGGAGATCTTGCTGCATATTTTCTCTTGAGAGTGAAAAAGAAAGTGCTTTGGGGGAGTGTTGGGAGTGAATTTTGAGAGATCTTACAAGTGGAAATTGTGAAGGGTTCACAAGGTGCCCAAAGGTGAGGATCTCTTTGTGTGTTCTTCAAATCTCTATCCTACTTCTTTGAAGACTCTTGGGAGAAGATCATTGGAGTAGATTTGATGCTCCACATCACCAGGAGGGTGAAAAAGGATGACGGTAATTTAACATTATCAAGAGGGTGAGAAATGATGTTGGTACTCTTCCATCACCAGGAGGGTAAGAAAGGATGCTGTTATTATGTCATCACTAGGAGGGTGAGAAAGGATGATGGTACTCTACCACACTATGGTTAATGGAAGAGAGGATGTTATAAGGGCTTCTCCACCTTCCTATGGGAGCAAAAGGAGATTCATTTTGATATAGTATAATACCTGAAGAAGTCTTCAGGGAGTGGACATAGGTTTAGTTGGACCAAACCACTAAAAAATTTGGTGTTCTTCTATTACTTTATTTTTATTATATTTTTAATTTCTGCACATTTACTTTTAGTGGTTGAAAAATTATTTTGAGAAAATTTATCATTGAGCTAAAAATCTTAAATTTGTTTTCTAAATTATCAAGAAATTTTTAAGTTACCAATTCACACCCCCTCTTGCTTAGCCTTGGGACAAATCTATTAGGTCTAATAACCTATTCAAAATTTCATTAGTATAATTGGCCAACAAGAATACAGTGAAATAAATTTGGATGTTATATATCTAACATCTCTCTTCTTGGATAGTCATTTGGATACTAAAGCAAACATTTTCTACATAGTTGTGAAATGAATTATTAAAATAGGTGCAACCTTAAAGGTCTAATAAGTGTATCAATGTAGGAAATACATGAATCTTTTTTCTCCATTATGTAATGTTATAATTCAAATTCTCATTTAAATCTAATAAAAAAATCATTTTAATATTTTCTAACCAAGTCTTTTTAGGTCTACCTCTACCTTTCTTAACATAAGTCAAATCTAATACATCTACTTTCCTAACTAGGTCATCGGAAGGTCGCCACTTTATGTGAACAAACTATCTAATTAAGGTGACTTTCTCTAATCTTATCTTTCACTAGAGCTACACCAACCTTTTCACGAATATGATAATTTCGTATACTATATATATGGGTAAAGAAACTCATCCACATGAGCATCCTCATCACTGCAACACTTAACTTAGTATTATGCTTCTCTTTTAATGGCCAACATTCAGCATCATAAAGCATTGCAAGTCTCACCATCATCTTTTAGAATTTTCCCTTAAGTTCGAGGGGGACTTTTCTATCACACAACATGCCCAATGCATTCCTCCACTTCAACCATCCAAATTTATAGGAGATTTTCATGAATCATTTTACATTGATTTGTTCAAGTCAAGTTGGTCTAATATTTAGAACACTTTCATAGAATAATATGATAAGTATTCTATGAAGATCATTTACATCTTTTGGATCTCTCACTCTCTCTCTCTCTCTCTCTCTTCAATGTTTTATCCTCGTCCTCTCTAATGTTTCTCCTTCTCTAGCATGGAAAGGGTGAGGGAGAGAAAGGAGTTTGGATGATGATGATGCAATGAACTATGATTTTAAAGGAGGCTATCTGATAGGCTAAGATATGAAGGAGCAAAAGGAAGAGAGAGCCTAATAAAACTTTGAATACAATAAGCCAAGACATAAATTTGAATAAGATAAAATGTGATAACTTTGATTAGAATGAACTAAGTAATAATTTTGAAAAAAAGAACTGAACGATAACATTAAATTAGATGAGTAGATTAATAACCTTCAATGGGATGAGCTAAGTAATAATATTATCTAGATATGAATATTATATCAAATCTTAGTAATTACTTTTTCCTTTATATATCTTAATTTCATTGATGGGCCTAAACTACAATTTTTATCTTCACGAGGGTAACCTTCTTGATGACTCATCATTTAGATCTCTCTCTCTCTGATCTTAAATAATAGGAACGTCTGAGTTCTATGAGTTCTATGCTTAACTTTTAAGTTTTAGATATTTTGATTTATCATAATCCTTGATTTATGTGATTTGCACAAATCCATGATGTCGAATATACTTGAATAAACTAATTTTGATGAGTTGAGGAACAAATAAATTTGTGTAGCAAATTATCAAATTATTCTAATTAGTAAATAGATAATCATTATTTATGAATTGTTGGTGACTTCAAGCATTTAAGATTACTTACATTACTCCATACTTTTTTGCATTTCTTTTTGTTTAATGAACATGCTGCTTTAAAATAAGTGTTAGGGCAACTAACATACAAAGAGCAGCTTCACAAATTTATAACTAAAATAAGTGAAAGGCTCCGTTTGGGGGCTTTCTTACTGCTTTTTAAAACAACTTTTTAGAAAAAAATTTCTTTAAGAAACAGTAAGAAAGCCATCTCAAACAAAGCCTAAGAAGTATACATATTTTCTTAAACTTCAAAAAAATTGTGATGCTTCCTAGGGGAAGTCACGATAACCACCATAGTGGGCTTTCATGAATGTCATGAAAAGTTAGTGTTTCACTATATCACTAACATAGGGGAAGTCACGATAACCACCATAGTGGCTTAGCCTTGAACATTATCTATATTCTATACTCATCACATATCTTTAGAATGTTAGGTCTAACTTTATTCGTTGGTAACATCAAAACCTACAAACAAGCACAAATCAAGCCTAAGCAAGAATTAAAGAGAGGTGGTGAAAGCTAAATAGAATTTTTTTTAAAATCTTCTCAGATTTTGCATCAACAAATACAAAACTGATGTGATATAAGTCTATAAGAATATATTGAGCTCATACTCTGACCAGCATTATAGGAATGACTATAATTAAATAAAAATATATACATTAACATAAAAAAGCTTGATGAAACATGTAAAGTAGACAAATCTATCTAGTAAAATTTCCAAGCATTTTGTGACTTTCAAATGAATTTACAGTTCCGAATGCAAGTAAGAATACATTTCAAGTGAGGATGAGTTCCAGATAAGGATAAATTTCATATGAGGGCAAGTTCCATGAGAGGATGAGTTCCTTCCACGTGATAAAGAGTTCCACAAGAGGAGGATTTCCAAGTGACGACGAGTTTCCCATGAGGACTAGGGTCCAAGTGAGTGTTTCACATGAGAGCGAGTTTTAAGAGACCAGGCTATATTTGAGAATGAGTTCCTCCCACAAGTTCCAAGGACGAATTCCTTATGGGAAACTCCAAGGTAGCTTGACAAGAACCGTAGGCGAATAGCTAGCAACATTGATGAATCAAATTCAAGTTTGTAAAATGATTTGACTTGACTCAGACTCAATACATGGGAGTCCACAAAATACCGAAAGTTTAACAGAAACAACACAAATTTCTCCCAAACAAATAAATTTACACATCTGTAAGGATAAAAAATTGATTTGCATGCCACCAAAGAGTCCTTACAATGCAAAGAAAAGAAAAAAAAAAGCATGACCTGCATTCAGCAAATAAGCCCTCAAATGACTCTTCAGAAAAAAGCACAATAAGATTGATTCACTAAACCATTGAACAGAGCCGATATTAGTTGAAGAGGAAAGCGTTGCTCCCCAACATTAAAAGAAAACAAAAAGTAAAATAAAATAAAAAAGAGAAAAAGAAGACCTGTTAGAATAACAAATTTCTCTAGTTCATATTAATAATATTTGCAGAAGACTTGCTAGACTAACAAAACAATTCAACAGTTTCGTTCTGGCGATGTTCACTGGACTATTAGTAGACCCCAAACATACAGAACTAAGCTTCTTGAAAGCAACAGTAAGAACATGATGTTGACCATCATCCATCAGAAGCTGCTTTAAAGAATCATCATCTGAAACCTGCCCTCAAAACATCTCTTGAAAAGCCGCCCTCAGCTTCTATCATACTCTGCAATACATGGATTCTTGCTTCAGGTTTCATTTGGGACGGCTTTTTTATTGCTTCTTAAAGCGACTTTCTTGTAAAAAACTTTATTTTTTGTACTAGAGAGCTGCTTTAAGAAGCAGTAAAAAAGCCGCACCAAACGAAGCCTCAGTCTCTCCAAGATCATGATAGGAGGAAATCGAATGAATGATAAAATACAAGTTCTCTGTCAATTGAAATAGAAATATCATGCAGATTCTCAAATCCTCTGCATATATATTGGTCTTTTGAGAAGTAACATTCAATTGGTCAAGCTCATAGCTCAGAAAGATAATGCCAAGCAAATGAACCAAAATGACTGCCAATTTCTCGACTTCTCAATTGGGTGGGTTTTAATCAATGAGTAACTGGAACCCTCTCTCTCTCTCTCTCTGTTCAATTTCTCTTTAGCTCACTTTCTGTATAAAAAAATGCATTGTGTGAGACCAAAGTTTTATTTGGAATGGCTTTCTTACTGTTCCTTAAAATAACTTTCTAGCACAAAAATTAATTTTTTTTACTAAAATGTTGTTTTAAGAAGCACTAAAAAAGTCGTCCCAAACGAAGCCCCAATCAAAATTTCTTTCAAATAAGACAAAAAACACACCATTGCCGTTGAGAATCCATAAAACAAGACAAATCTCAGTGACCCGCTGCAAAATCATACAGGAAATAATTATGAAGAATGAAAGCCTGACTTGAAAATTTTTTATAACCTTTCAATTATTCCAAACTAAAATCAGTTCGGGAATGTTGTGCTGCTTTTGTATTGTATGAAAAGGAAAAAACACTTCTATAAAGATGAATAAACTAATTAGTGCACGCATTGCCCATTATTGAAGTCATGGAGATGAACATGCAATGTGAGAATTTATTAAAAAAATACAATCATATCCACATGGCAAGCATTCCACGAGTTGAGATTGGAAGAAGGATAAGCTTTTTTTTTTTTGAAAGAAATGCAGAAAATGAATTAAAGGAATCAAAGAACTACAAGTCAAAGTAAGCCCAAAGCATCACATTCCTCCTTCAAGCAATACAAGAAAGAAGGAGGAATCATAGCATCATGAAGATCTTCCCATAAAAAAGATCTCACCAGGGCCAAATTAGCACAAATATCCGCTAGTTTGTTCCCATTTCTAAGAGAATGCGAAAAAACAACTTGCTTAAACTCAAGTAAGAAAGCCAAATTCTCATCAATATTTTTACTAACCTTCCATTCTTTGACTGCATTATTAAGCAATTTGATAATATTCAAGTTGTCTCCTTCTACGATCACACCTTGAGCCTCCATCATCCAATCTTTGACCAGCTTTTTCAGATCAAGAACAGCCATTAATTCTAAATGAGAAATATCCCAATGCAAAGATTTGTTTCCAAAAGCCATCAAAAACCTTCCCTTATCATCTCGGATCACTCCACCCATTCCCGCCAAGTGATTCCTTTTAAGAGCTGCATCAATATTTATTTTAATCCATCCGGTAGGAGGAGGATGCCAAGTAGAATTCAGCAAAAGCTGGTTAGCACCCCAGTTTTCCGATTGGAGATGAATAAAATTGCTTCTCACGGCAAAGGAAATAGCATTGGCAGCAATATAGTTGTCTGAATCTTCATACTTATCATGAATAAACTTACACCTACTTTTCCAAACCAGAAAAACCATGTTGCAAAAAATATTTCCAAACAACAAATTGGTTCCCACGTCATTCTTTAAACTTTCTAAACAGTCTTCAAAGTCATGAAACCTCGGCATTTTGAATCCCCAGCCATTCAATAAGTCAATAACTTTCTTTATCTTGGAGCAACTTCCTACTAAGTGATTGTTATCTTCATCTTCTCCACATCCTCTAGGACAACCCGAACAGTTACTTAACTTTCTTTTGAACAGAAAAGTATTAGAGGGAATAGCATCATAACAAAGTCTCCACCAAAAAAATTCTATTTTCGGTTTTAACTTTAATTTTTTAAACCACTTCCAATGAACCACTTCTTCCTTATGATTCAAACTAGCTTCATATGCCAATGCAGTAATAGATTTCCCAGAGAATTTTGTCTTTAATACCACCGAATCAGCTTCTCTATTGTTCCAGATCGGGATTTTAAGAATCAGTTTTACAAGATGTTTGCTGAAAACAGTATTCAGTTTCTCTATATCCCAACATCCATTGGAGATAAAAGAATTAAGAAGTAAATACTGATTGTTTTGAATGTTGATAAAAGTCGGCCAATGAGTAAGATTTCTGTCCAAAATCCAAGTGTCCTGCATTCAATTGATTGAGTAACCGTTGGATACCTCCCATCTAATAATTCTTTTAAGGAAATGAACTCCCATCTTTATAATCTTCCATGTTGGAGAACAACACTGCTTCACCAAATCCGACCACATATCTTCACCATATTTAGCTTTGAGAATGAGATTCAACAGAGAATTTGGCTTGGTTAAGAAGTTCCAAGCAAACTTGGCACGTAATGGACCTACCATTAAAGTGGCCGAGAATAATCCTCTTCCCCCTCATTTTTAGGTGTGCAAAGTAGATCCCAAGAGGCATAGTGAAGCCCTGCATTACCATTATTTTTACTCCAAAGAAATCCTCTACATAATTTGTCAAATTCTCTAAGAATACTCACTGGAACCAGTGATAGAGATGACAAAAACAACGGAAGAGATAGGAAAGCTGATTTAGTTAGAATCAGCTTACCATCCAACGAAATGCATCTTTTACCCCATGTGTTCAATCTACTAGCTGCTGCTTCCAATAAAGGCTGAAAATCCGAAGCTACCATTCTTC